AAGTATTGATATGCATGAACTCGTGGGAAGATAAGGAGTCTAATGATGTAAATTTATCAAAGTTTTGAGACGTGGGCCCGGGGTCGGGTTTCGGTTAATTTCTAGGATTTACGTGGTATTTTGATTACATGTGATATCATAATAAAATCGCACGGCATTATCCTTCTTGATTTTACTCATCGGCACGGCATCACCCTTCGTGCTTTTACTCTCTCAATCTCTCAATATGACAATCAATTACACAGCCATCACAATACCCCTAAAGTTCCTAACCCTTCAAGCATCAAAGAATACATGCCAATAGCCTGTTGTACAGTATTATATAAACTCATTGCCATGGTATTAGCCAACAGAATTCAGAAAGTCATTGCTTCAATTATCTCAGATACACAGGCAGGATTCTCCCAGGTAGAAAGGTGGCTGACAAGGTATCGCTTGCTTATGAATTGGTCAAGGCTTATTCAAGGAAGAATATTTTACCAAGATGCCTTATCAAAATGGATATTCAAAAGGCCTATGACACAGTGGATTGGAGATATCTTCATCAAATGCTAGAAGGATTGGGCTTCCCAAACAAATTCACTAAGTGGACTATGGAATGTGTAACAACAATCAACTANTTTCTACGTTTTCTAAGTTACTATATGCACCATACACTTCTTAGGAATAGTAGTAATATATTTTTACTATAACAGAATCATTTAAGGAATGTAGGACAAAGCAACATGTGTCAATTCGTCCTAAGCTTTCCTCTATCTAATTCTCCTTTAAATTTATTTTCACATCTTATAAATATTTTTTTTGTCAAAGTTATATTGCCTTTATCTAAGTCCTATTTAGTTAAATAGGGAGAGAAGGAGAGCTCTTTATTCTTTAATTTTATCATACTTGATTATCTAATTTTCATTCGGTGGATAAAAAATGATTCATTTTGTAGATTTGAGCTCTTAATACTTATTGATGAATAAATGTAATAATTATTTGTAGGTTTATATTATGAAGCTTAATTTTGTGCATGACATGTATATTCACATAAAAATGCAGAGGCTTGAATATTCCCGTAAAAAAGAACAATCAACTTTGGGAAGATAATTATGCTAAAGCACAATTGGTTATGTTATGGATGAAAGATATAGGGAAAAAAGTCGATCAAGGAGTGTTGCTTTTTATGTCGTCTATTGAAGCAATCAAACTCATAAAAAAGATATACCAATACTTAATTGGTAACGTTATGGCTAGAAAAATCGAGTTAGAGTTTGTATGAGAGTGTGCTTTTTTACTGTATTCATAAAAAGGTCTTAAGGTTACACTAGCTTTTGGCATATTTAATTATGTAATCTTTGATAAAATCCAATATTTTTCAATTATGTAAGTATTAATTAATTTTAGTATATATTTTGTAAAAATATGATATAAAATACACGTGCATCGCACGTGCAGAGAAGCTAGTAATATATTAAAAATACAAAGACTCTTAGCGAAACGACGTTCGTCTTTTTTACCCTTTATAAATAAGTTTCATATTGGACAAATATATAATTTAATTTACTTTTCTAATATTTAGGACTTTACAATCAAATAAAAAAATGTATTATTGCCTAATATCTAGGAGTACGAAATAAACTAAATAAGGATAAAATATATTAAGAAAAAAAAAGAATATAAAAATTAAAAGGTAAGTTTCTTTTCAACGAAGGACAAAAATATTGTATAATTTTCATGTAAAGTTTTTGTGCCTATATCGTACAAGGAAAATTTTATCGTGTAAGGTCAATTTTTATTCCTCTATTTTTCTTTCCGTAAGAAAATATTTTCTTGGTTGTTTAATTATATTTTATTAAATTGTTCACACCTATAATTATTTCATGTGTTAATTTTACTAATAGTTACCTATTTAGGATTTTCAAATCAGTTTTATTTATGGAATATGTATATTTGAACCATGTCAGAAGTCTTAATATATAAAATTCAAAAATCAATTAAAATTTTAATCATCTTTTACAAATTATTTCCTTAAGCAAATATATAACTTATTTTGATATAAATTGCTATTTTTCAATAATTTGTTCTTCTTATATATACATATATTTATTAATTGACGCGGCACACACGTGCAATACACTTGCACTAAAACTAGCGTTAAATAAAAAATCAAACTCAAATGTTGGGAACATACACCTTGCAACAAGACTATTTCAACTACTCCACTAGCTAGTGTAAGGTGTAATTAATTCTATAAATAGCTGATCAATCACTTAGCTTGCACCACTAAATAGCAAATCTTTTAGCTTTGTCACAAGAATTGGTATATTATGGGGGAAGAAACAAATGGAGTAGCAAGAATCCATGAAGTAGACAAAGCTGAGTCTCAAGCTCAAGAAGATATATGGAAGTATATGTTTGGTTTTTCTGAAATGGCTGCAGTAAAATGTGCTATTGAGTTGGGAATACCTGATTTATTGGAAAACAATCAAGAAGCCATCACATTAAATCAACTGTCATCTGCACTTGGCTGCTCTTGTTCTAATTTTCTCTACCGCATTCTGAGGTTCTTGATTAATAGGGGAATATTCAAAGAAGAATCCACAGGACATGGCGAAATAGGTTATGTCCAAACACCTCTTTCTCGTTTGTTGAGGAAAGATGGAGAAAATAGCATGGCTGCTCTTGTCCTACTTGAAGCTAGCCCAGTGATGCTCGCGCCATGGCATTTTTTGAGTGCCCGCGCTCTGGCAAAAGGTGAGAACATTGTATGATCATTTTTATCTAAAGGTGACAAACGGACAGATCATATCAAATGGGCTAAATCAATAAGTGGATCATGATCCAACCCGTCTAAAGTTAGCTTGGATCATAATGGGTTGAGTTAAAATAGTACAAATATCATGTCATAACTCGACTCAGCCTAATATAATCCAACTTTACATCTTTTTTATTTTGCTTAAGAAATGTGAAAGCTAATGGAGTACTATATTTTTCTTAAATTGTTAGTTTAAGTTCTACTAAACTTTCATTTCCTTATCTCTAAATTTGATTTGGTATATCTGAGTTTCCATCCTTACACAATTAAATAAATTGTCTATTTGTGCTTGAGTTGTGCTTGAACCCATTGGATTACACTCTTTGGTCCGTCTTGCCCCATGATTTGATGGGTCATTTTGGATTCAATTAGTTGAGTTAAGTTAACAAACGGATTAAGCAAAAATTGGTTGATGTTGCCACCTCCAGTTTTAATATTTTACTGAATTATGCAACCGTTTCATCTAAAAGATTATGCCATTAAAGATATATATTTTTATATTACTTAATTATATTATATTTCAACAGGGAATACTGCAGCATTTAGTGCAGTTCATGGTAAGGATGTGTGGGAGTATGCAGAAACCAATCCAGAGCACAGCAAGCTGATCAACGACGGCTTGGCGTGCCATGCACGGGTGGCAATCCGTGCCATCATCGATAGTTGTCCAGAAATATTCAAAGGGATAGAGACTTTAGTTGATGTTGGTGGAGGTGATGGAACAACTATTAGTCTGTTGGTGAAAACATTTCCTTGGATTAGTGGGATTAATTTTGATCTTCCTCATGTTGTCTCTGTTGCTCCTCATTGTCATGGTGTTCAACATGTTGCAGGAAATATGTTTGATTCTATTCCCAAAGCAGATGCTGCTTTCCTCATGGTAAGTAGGGTAATGGCTGACCGATTTACTGTTTACTTTCATAGTCAGTATACGGGCGAAGTGCACCGGTATCCATTCTTAAGCCCGTTGTTAAAAATATATCCTCAATTTATAATGTATTTAAAGATTTGCCAACTCATCAAACTTTAGGACCAAGTATCCTGAATTTGGAATTTATGACTTAGTGTCCTGAATATTTGAGCTGCTAATTTGAAATTCAGGACTAAGTGTCCTGAATTTATGAACTGCTATTCAGGACATAACATTCGAACTTCTGGACACAATTTTCGAACTTTCGGACATAATATCCTGAAGTTTGAACTTTGAGGTTTAAATTTTAGGACGTCGTGTCCTGAAGTTTGAGCGCGTTAGCTAATCTTTAAATACATTGTAAACTGTTGTAAATATATTTTAAACACCATGCTTAAAAGTGGCCGCCCGATGTTATTTCCACTCGGTATACTTAGATTTTGTACGGTTATACACATATATTATTTCACTAGCTATGTTTAGTTTAAGTTGGGTTTGTTTAGGTTAATTCCTTATATTTATAGCATGATGTGGTGAGATAATTAAGACGTATATTGATCCTGTATGCTAAAATCACCATTACAGGAAGTTAAGCTAGTCGTATACGGAGCCCGTTTGAATTGGCTTATTGTAAGTGCTTTTAAGCCAAAATAGCTTTTAAGCCATTTTGTAGTGTTTGGATAAAGTAAAAAGTGCTTTTAAGCACTTGTTTTTAAGCTAAAATGACAAAAATAAGCGAAAAGTTAGAATTCCTAACTTATGACTGTTGACTTAAAAATCACTTACAACAAGCCCATCCAAACGGGCTCATGGTTACTCTTTCTAAAAGATATACGCTTGTTGAGTTGTTTCTACTTTTGACAATTAAGTGAATATACCTAAGTTTTACAATTCCTTATATGCATATCTTATCGTTCTCTATTTCAATTTGTTTTCCGGATCTTCGTTGTGGTGAATATCAGTCAGTCTTACATGATTGGAGTGAGGACGAATGTATTCAAATCTTGAAAAATTGCATAAAGATTATCCCAAAAGACACAGGAAAAGTGATAATGGTGGAAGTAGTGCTTGAGAAAGAAAAAGGAGAAGGCTTACTCTCTACCCCCGACACGATCACCTTTGGCTTTTCTTGCTTTGCTTCAACATCAACCTCTTTTCAACTACCACAGATGGCTTATCATTTGGCATGCTCAACTTGTCTGCCGATCCTTCAGCTATCGAAGAGGTTGCTTTTGTGACAACCGGGTCCTTGACTGACTTACCCTCACTAGATCGGATCATCATGACAGATTGTGAAGGCTTCTTGGGCTTCCCATCCTTGTGCACTATCTCAATAATGTGCATTTCAGCATGGGCTGGCAATGGGTTCTGATTGATGTTGGGTGCTTCCGGGAGTTTGGACCACAATCTGATTTGTGTCGATGAGCTCTTGGATGGCGCTTTTCAAATGCCAACACTTTTCCGTGTCGTGCCCCAGAGCACCAGAACATAATGCACACCTAAGGACGGTAAATTCAAATTACT